TTTCTTCAATTAAAGCTAAAGATAGAGGAAAAAGGAGGTTACTGTTCTTTCAGTAAAGTGTCAGCTCTAATGTTTGCCAGCCCGTGGGGATTCCTCCCCCAACATCCCCTGAGGAGAGCTGCAGCCACACGTTCCAGTGCATTCTCGGTGCAGAGCACACTCCCCCTGCAGGTGTGTGCTGTGCTGTGCTTGCCATGAGCAAGTGTGCCAGCCACAGTTATCAGAAGGGGAAAAATATGACTCTGAAAAGGTTTAGTGTGAAGTGTGCACTACTACTATTAATTAACATTAATAAGGTGTGTTATATAATGTTTAAGAATATAAAAAAAAAATTAAAATTCTTGTACTCTTACCTCGTGAGGTATTTGCTTTTACACTGAAGTCATCTGGGGTAAGTACAAAATTTAACCACCAAGTGAAACCTCGTTGCTGCTTCTCCTTCCAACGTTCATCAGAAAACCTGTTTTTAGCTGCAAAAGGCATTGGGTGCCTAGGGATGACTTTAAAAAAACAAACAAGCAAACTGTAAGTCTTTGCAGTTCTTGAAATATTTGATAACCGATATACATTTCATTGTGGAAAGGATTAATGCTTGACATTGCATTCAGCCCTACAGCAGAAAAAAGTGGATTCTTGGAATCTTCGGTGACTGCAGAACAGCCACTATTAAATATATTTCAGCCAAAAAATGTGGATTGAGTTATTAAAGCACTAGAACTAAGAGAAGAGATTTAGAACCCAGGCCATTTGCAATGGGGCAAATCCAAATTGAGCTGGCTTACGACCAGGAAGAACCACTGTATAGATACATTTTTCTCATCAGATCAATTTAATATTCTTAACTCTGAAAAATTATTATCTTGCTGGTAAGAAAGTTTTTCCTCTTAGGTATTCTGCTGTTGTCTTAAAACGTTGTCAGGTATGGAAGAGGCATTTAATTGATAACCATCAGTAAGCTGCAATGGAGCTTTTAGATTTACAGGCAAAACTGGAAGAAAGTAACATTTACCTTCAGCTGGCTGTGCCTTGCAACCAATTTTGAGTAGTCAAAACAGATCACAAAAGGTTACATATATTATTCTACCAAATATTGATTCATTTTAGGTACAATCTTCCATTTCATCTCAACTCTAACCAGTCAGGTCTTGCCAGACATGAGCAGTACCACAGCTGTGACATTGGGTTCAGTGTACAGTGTTTTACTAAACACCAGCAGTCTGCCGACCTGTTTGCTGGGGTTTCACAGATGTCAGGTGAGACTGGGTCAATCCAGGGACAGGTTTACTCATTCTCTTGGTAGTTTTAGACGCTTTCTGAAGTGAACAACCTACAAGCATTAACACACAAATATCAACAGCCAGTATGTCAGTGAAAGTTACTGTATTAGAGTTCATGTCACTCCTAAAGCACAGAACTGGAGTAATTCCCCATGAACCCACTCAAAATACCAATAACCTCCTGTTACTGGTGGAAACTTAGACAAACCAGTCTGGCTACAATTAAAAGGGAAAACCAGTTAAGAGTAAATAAGTGCTCTTGTATGTTCTTGCATTTACTCAGGAAATGTACTGCTTGAATTTCATCACCATGTCTAGAAAAATCAACACAAGGCTGACAACAAGCTAATGCCAGACAGTAAAAAGCAGGCAGAGCCAACAAAACATGGGAACTGTTTCACTGAAAGGTTGCTCAGGCATTGGGACAGGCTGCCCAGGGAAGGGGTGCAGTCACTATCCCTGGAAGTGTTCAAAAGGCAGGTGGATGTGGCACCCGGGGTGATGGTTTAGTGGTGAACATGGTGGGGCCAAGATAATGGTTGGACTTGATAATCTTAGAGGTCTTTTCTAACCTTAACAATCCTATATTTGAAAACATGGGACAGCAGCAATGGAGTCAAATATTCACAATGGTAAGTGTGCCTAAGACAAATATTGGGCAGTAAGTTTCTAGTAAATGAAAATCACATAACGAGGGCTCTGCTGAAGAACTGCCAGATACTTTTCCTGTTACTGTCATTAACAAATTTACACGGGAACAAAGTAAATTTGAAGCCAACGACAGAGCCAAAACTCTAACCTAGTTTTCAGATTTTTCAAGTGCAGATGTCTGACCAATTGCAGAGACCCCCATTTCAGAGATATAAAATATTTCTGACTGTTGCCAGACAGTTCAGTTTGCTGTACACATTTCATAATCAAAGGCATCTCTCAGAAAATGGTCAATGAAAGAAATGCTGTCACTCACTTGCTTTCTCTGCCCTATTTTCTCTCGGTTTGTGGCTCTGAAGGCTGATGGTCTCACAGTCCTACGTGTCTGATGTAAGAGCTCTTTTTCTTTCCACTTCTTCCACATACACTGGAGCTGTGACTCTACTATTTTCTACAGAGGTTTCCCTTTTCCTCTTATGACACAAAGAAGTTGATCTAGTAGGAGATGAATTTACTTTGTCGTGTGACACTTATTTTCAGCTGAAATGGGACCTGTTCAGATATTTCTGCTTCTGTACAGTCCCCACATCAGCACATTCTATTATTGCTTTATTAAGGCATTTTTTAGATTTTGGCTGGCAGGTTTCTGCTCTTGTTTCTTCAGTAGCACCAGGGTTACTTTTTATGACAGTGGCAGAAAGAATTGGACGTTTTCTCGTTTGTTCTCTCCGAGAAGAATTCCCAGTCTGAGGTTCCTCTGCAGAACGAGAACTGCAGGGATTTTCTTTGGGTTTATCATCATGAAGTGATGTTACATTATGCATCTCAAAGACTTCATGTAAGTTGTGTTCTGTGCAAACAGGAGTTTCTGTCTCTATACCTCCATCCTTTCTCCATTTTGAGGGGAAAAATCTCTTCACCACATAAGTCCCTGTGGTAGATGATATTAATGCTGCCTCAGGTTTAGGAGTCTTTGATTGCTTATCTGACAAACTGTCTTTCACACATTGCTCAGGTGACAGAATTGTAAAAGTCTGCTCCATTGTGTCTATATCCATTGCTAATTGCCATTTACACAAGCATCTGGACTGAAAATTCTCCTTGTACTTAAAGCAGGTGCAGATGCTGAGTGCCCTGGAGTGCAAACTGCTAAGAGTGCACAATTAAGAACTTCTGCACTGTCTGAAATTGGTAGTTGTGTCAATCCAGCAGAACTGGAGACACTTTCAGATTGCAATTCGTCGTGCTCATTAACCCACCTCTTGACATTATGAAATGTTTTATCAACGTTTTTTATTTCTGAAGTACTCTTTTTAACTTTTATTGCAGCAGAGGTTTCTGAAGAGATTTTCAATTTACCCCAAAGACTCCTCTGAAAAAGAACCATAAATAAAAGTCAGCGTGCTGACTTCCTAAATACTTCTGTGTAAAAGAGAACATTACTAGCATATTTATTCAAAGTTTAAAAATACTATAAAAAGAATACTTAATACAATATGTTATTTCCAGGCTTGAAAACAGTCTATTTGGTCAGGTGTTAGTTTTATTCTCTAAGCTGTAATGCATCAGCACCTACTTTCCCATTCAGTGAAAAAACCCTGAGAACTGTGGGCATTTCCACAGACAGCATTATTTAACAATTTTTAATTCTCCTTCGCTGAATTTTCTAGTAATAAAAACAATATCTGTGTCAGCTATGCCAAAGTCACAGAATTAAGACACCATAAACTCACCTTTTTCTTTGGGGGCTGCTCAGCAGCACCGAGGAGCACAGCTTGGTGTTTTACAGTGCCATTAACAACAAAAGTTCCCAGCTCTCTGACTTTTCCTTCTTCTAATGGTGTCCATGGCACAGAAACAAAGATTCTTTGTCCTGACTATCAGAGAAAAAGAAATGTTCAATCCCTGGCATTTAGGGACACTTCCATGACATCAAAGATCAAGTAATCAAAGGAGGAGCAGTCTATAGAAGTAACATCTATTTGACAACGTGAAATGATACGCAACTGTTCAACGTTTAAATATCAGTTTTCCCCTCTGACATGTAAATTTAAGCAATCACTATCAAAAATGTCGTATAACTAAAAGGACACGTGCCTCTTAATGAAACTACAGTGGAGAACAAGCAAGAATATGTATAAATATAACACATAGAAAGGACAAGATTGGAGTAAAGGTAAGTAGAAGAAACTACATAATTTTTTGCATATATTAAGCAAATAAGTCTTCTAGAGTAATTCTGAGAGAATTATAGTGGGACTAATAATCAGAGGTTAATTTACAAAATATTTTAAAATCCAACACTCAAAACTTGAACTGTTACAGGAATCGCCCTGATCCGTGAATTTACACCAAGACCAAAGTCAGATTCCTCAGTTATGTTCCACAGAAATGAGAACTTCAATGGAAAACAGAAATTACAATCTATACAGGGTTTGGATTAAATAAGCAGAATTTATCTATTTCTCAAATGCTTTAATTTCTTTTTTTGTTGCATTTATTCATGTAACACTTGCAAAAACCTTGGAAACCCATCCAGAACACCAAACATGCACTGATTTCACAGACAGATGGAGTTGAGACATAAAATACAGAAGAAACTCTTATGGTGGCTTTTTTATTAAAACCAGCTAAAATGGGTGCAAGGCAAACATTGTCCACATTCCTGAATTTTCTTCATATCTTCAGTCACACATGTTCACAGGCAGAGCCTTAAGGACACCCATATTTAAGTGTCATAGGATATCATACGAAGTAGTTGGATTGGATATTTTAATATTCTTAATTATCATTCTTAATATTTTAACAACTCAGTAAAATTTGCATATTATTATGTTTTAAATGGTTTTACAGATCCCTTAAAGAATTTTTTTTATACTTTCTGGTTTATCTTGTTCCTCAAGCCTTGTCCTTTAGAGGCTCCTTACCTGTGAAAGGAGACATGGGGACTTATTTTCCTCTTTCAACACACCTCGGATATGGCAGCTGTCCTCTCTTACACTGTACTTGAAATAAAGTTGTACCGGGTTCTGCTCCAAAATGCTTCTGTTTACAGTAAAATCCAACCTAATCCCCAGGGTAAAAGTAAACCTGATTTGCACAGAAGCCTTGCAGTAGCACATTATTTTTCTCCATTTCATTTTTTGACAAAGTACGTGGCTCTAAAGGAAGAGAGATGAAGACAGACGTTTCAGTAGGGGCTGTGGCAATAAGACAGAAGGTAATGGTTTTAAACTAAATTCAGCCCAGACACAAGGAAGACATTTTTACAATGAAGGTTGTAAAACACTGGATCAGCTTTGCCAGAGAGGTCGTTCCCCAGGCATGGAAACATTCAGTGTCAGGCTGGACAGGACTCTGAGCAACCTGATCCAGCTGAAGATATCCCTGCTTATTGCAGGGGGGATGGACTTTAGGGGGTGGCCTTTACAGGTCACTTCCCAAATGTTCTGAGTCTATGAATTACATCGAGAAATAGGAGCTGATTTATCTTCTCACACCCACCTACACAAACTGGTGGCAAAGTCCACTGCCCTTCAGAACAGTTGATTCTCTCAGATCCTTCCAAAAAATGACAGTCAGAGCAACTCTACTGAACTGAAGAACCACTGTCACACTGGGTCAGTGGTGGGAGAGGAAGAGCTCCATTTGCAAGAGATGGTGGAGAGTCACATTTTTCTGTAGGAGCTGGAATACCGTGAAAAACAACTGAGAAACATTCAGCATAAGAAACTAACAAAGCAGCAGCTTTACCAGAAACTGGGGGCACACAAAGGATTTCTTTTCATAGTTGTCTTTCTTGATGCCTTAAGCCCCTATTAGTTTTTTATTTTTCTAGTTTTCGTAAGCTTTCTAAGTTTTATAAGAAGTAGAAGCAGCAGCCCTCGTTCCCTTCCCCTGTAGTACAAGGAGTTTACACATTCCTCAACCCTCAACAAGAGACTAATGTTTAGTCCCATATCTGGGCCTGAACAACAGAACAGAGTCAAAAACCAGGTGACTCTGTACCTACCCCTCGTGCTCTGAGGATGATGAGAATGATGAAGAGAGGGTCTCGAAACCCCAGACTCAATTCCCAGGGGTGGGTCAGGGGGTGGACCAGAGCAAAGGCTACGGGGTGGAAACACTTGGGATTGGACAGATGGGATTATAAAATGGAACATCTCAGGCACAGCCGGCGGCGTCTTGGAACATCTGTTGCCTTGGCACAATTAAACCCTTTCCTTATCTCACCCTCAATTCACTGCTCCTGAGTTATTTTTTTTTAGCATCAACATTTTAGGCATCATTCTACAGAGCTTTCAGTCCTCTGGACTTGGAGAAGAGGTTCTCCCACCTTTCCACAGCCTTGCCCATCACAGGGATGTGTATCCTTTCCCCATGCTTGGATGTATTAAACAACAGAGTTGTCTTGTGCAAGATATCTGTGCATATCTGTGCTGCTGAAGCCTAAACATATATTCTTTACAACAGACTGTAGGCCTGCACTGCCAAAGCAAATTGTTTCTAAACAGAGCTAAGATTGATTCATTAAAAAGGAAAGCAATAAAAAATTATTGTTTTACCTTGCATAACACATTTTGGATATTTCAGTCTGCCGTGGTCACACTGTGTCCTCCCAGGAGACAGAATGGTAGTGTGGAGAAAATTATATCCCTGGTTACATTCAAACTCTATGAGATCTCCACGTAGGAAAATGAACTCTTCCTGTCTCCATTTCAACTCTATGTTGTTGCTGTCCATATCAGTTACATTAAGAGTGCATGGTTCTAGGAAATAAAAGTGTATTTGAATAAAAAAACAACCTTAAGTGATTTTTTAGCTCTGTTTTGGAGGAGCAAAGAAAGAAATCCAAGTCAATAGTTCTAAAATGTTTCTGAATCTTGCAAGAAAAAGAAAAGAACTCTTGATGCATAAAAAATACAAATCTAAAGAAACGGGCTGAAGCAGCAAAAAAAAAAAACAAACATGCAAAAGGAAGTCTAAACTGGGAACAGTAAATCACAGAAAACACATGCTTATGACAAAATTTGGATTTGACACGCATTTGTAAAGATATGGCAGCATAGGTTTACCATTGAAAAAGAAAAGAGCTTCTTTACTGTAACTGGAAAGGACTTTTTCTATGAAAATAGCCCTCCATCCAAATGAACCTGTCAGATTTGGCCGACAGGTTTGCTGAGCCCTTTCAGGAGAGTAAGACCTGATCCACAGCAAGTTTACACTGCTACCCTAAAGAAGTGATTTGACAATTCCCTGTTCTTTGCTTTTTAATTTGTTTTGTCTCCATGAAAAGAATTTAGAGATCTTCCAAAAATATTTGGGAAATCTTGTGTTCTTCTTTGGGCTTTCTCAGGTTATTCAAGGTCAATATTGCTTTGGATACTTTCTGACAGGTTTCTTAAAACTTAGTGCCAGGATCACATCAGGGAGTCCAGCTTCCCATTAGATGGTGAACCTCATTCACTTCTGAAAGCACTTCAATAAAGCCTGACAGAGGGTCACTTACAAATTTCTACCAGTTCCATGAGAATCACTGGCTGATAGAGGCCCTTATTAATGCTTTGCTGAGGAAAAGGCAAGGAGAACTCAGGGATTGGGTGGTCTGGTGACTGCACCGTAAAAATAAACTGGAATGGATCTTTTCCTGAACCTCACTACAGCACGTGTTCTTTCTGCTCTGAGTAGGGGAGGGTTGAAAAGAAATCTCAGAAAACGTGGAAAGGATGATGTGGTTGTTTGGATGCTTAGGAGAAAAATAAGACTCACAGGATTTCATTATTTCACAGGATTTGTTAAATTTGAGTCTTCAGATTACAAATGCTGACCTGGACCTTTCAATCAAGACAAGGTCAATTTTATTCATTTAGAAATAAGTAATTAAAACTGAACTGGTTGTTTATTTTCATTTTCACAATAGATTGCAAATTTAAAAGGGAGTCAATTTAACAAGGTATGTTAGTAAAATAGAATTATTTCAATACAGGAGGGAAGGAAAGATAAACAAACAACTCTTGTATATCACCAGAAGCAGGATTCCTGCCAGCATTGGTAGACTTCTAGTGGGGGTTCTAGACATTGTTTTGAACAGCATTGAAAGACAGAAAGAAATTAACTGAATGAAGAATATGGAAGAAAGAAATTGGAAAATCCTCCTAGGTAACAGAGAGAGTTGTGTTCTAGAAAAGCTCACTCAGGAAAACAGGGGAATCTATTTTAGTGGGGGGTTTTAAGAACAGGCCAGAGGACACCCAGCATGAGACACCTTGGGATATTTGGTTTGGTTCATCCCTCTATTTCTGGAATCTTTATTAACCCAAAGAAAAGAAAAAAGGTGGTAATGAAAAGATTATTTAGAGGTTCTTTCCAGTCTTCCATTTCCATATTACGTGTGACAAAACTTGTTTTTTCTTACAAGACTTACCTAAGCCATTTGGTTGTGCTGTCCAGTGTCCTTGATCCCAGTAAACAGTCCCAGCTCCATCCAAAAAGTGGCAACGCTGACAACCACATTCTACCGAGGAACCGTTTTTGGAACTTGCCAATAATGGACCAAGAACAGCCCCATTTTTAATCCCAGGTGGAGAGGTACAGTCTTGCTGCATTTCTGAGATGAGGTAGGGAGAGAAGTGATTAGATCTTAGTTAGATTAGAACAGTGTTAACACTGGTAAAAGTATTACACCAATACTAGACTGAGCCAAAAAACTGCATACAAGTAAAATGTAAAGCAATATAATTTCTTTTCCAAATTTCATTTCCAGAAAGTCTAAACTTGCATTACTGAATTACAGATATGCATTTTATTTCCCTCTGCACACTTCATTTCTGTCTGCTTTTGACTCTTTCTGATTTACATTCTATACAGATTAGTTGTTTTTCTGTGATGAGACCGTCTATTTGTTACTTGAAATGTTTCACCCATGTGTAGTTCAAAATGAACAAAAGAAACCTCACTGGAACTGTTCATCAAAGGAACACCAAATTTGCATGTTCAAATAATATTAATGGGTAAAAAAATTATCGAAAGCAAATGCTAATGTATGAAATAAAATTACAAAGACAGAACAGGCTTATTGTAGTTTATAATCATTACAAACAAGCAACAATTTAATTAGCTGAGACTGCTACACTGACATTGTCTTAGAGCAAAAGAGGAGTGACAGTAGTCCTAAAATCCCTATAATAGCATTGGAGAGTCCTTTTTGAACAGAAAAGCAATGTTCACCTACTCACATCTTCACTGCCATATGTTTTGTTTGCCCTTATTGCTGCATCTGATGTCAGTGATGGTGGGGCCTCAGACTCCTGTTTCCCCACAGTTCCTGTAACCAGAGCAGAAACACAGAACCAGTTTCCTCAGAAACAACTCATTTTCAAGTACAAAACCAGAGAGACACTGATGCCTTGTAAAATGTAATAATCCAAATCTTCCAGGGAAGTTGTCACAGATGTCAGATGAATTCACCCAGCTCGTCCTTCCTCTGTAACCTGGGAACCACAGATCGACTGCAAAATATGCAGCACTTTACCTCTCCAGCCTTTGAACAGAGGAGAACAAACAGTTTTGCAGATATGGAAACCAGGGCTCTCCAGAAAATTAAAGCACTGTTGGAAGAATCATTTCTGTTCAGTTGTCAGTCTTTCACAAAAGTACTAACCAATACAAATAGGGGGTGGGGTCCATTTTCCTTCTTCACACTGGATTTCCTCAGATCCTCTTATTCCAAAGGTCCTTTGGCACTGTACACAAACTTTGTCTCCATTATGACATGTTCTTCTAACCGTGGTGATATGGCCATGAGGAGGAAGTGGGGGTGGAGGACATTTATTTTTTACATCTGAAAATAAAAAATGCATATTTTTTTCTCACCAAAACCATGTACACAATCAAGTTTACTGTACACCATGCAAGCCCATCACTCAAATGGCATTTTTGGCTGATCCAGAGTAATTTCTTACTCCCATTTTCTTAACAAAATAGGAGACCAGACCAAAAAAAGTGATTCTACACTCAACAAATATAAAATAGAGGTACTATGCTATTGTACTGCTATAAAGAAATTTGTAATTTCTCTGCATAGACTTAATAAAACGTTCTTTAAAGGACTTCAGGAAATAGAGATTTCCCTTACTCTCCATTCATATAATATTTAAGCAGGTTATGTATTAATTCTCATGCTACAGAAGCAGCAATAATCACAGCCCATTTCCTATCCCCAAATTAAGTTGGCAATTACTGTACCCTCAAAACTAGATTTAGGTCTTGTTTTCATCCTCCTGAGCATCCCCACCTTCTCTGCACTCACTCATGAAAAGTTCCTGCTGTGTCCTCAGAATAAATACAGGGCTGGGGTCTAAGCTACTCTAAAGGTTGATTTCTACTGCTTTCTGCTCTGTATCTCATCTGGTTCACTACATCTTTTATCCTTTTGAAAGTTTCTTTTCTGAGACTCCATTACCCCCCAATGACTGGAGAAGTGAAAGCAATTGCTAAAGGTGTGTTTCTGTCCTCAGAACAAATGACCTTTTAGTCAATTCTGTTGAAAACACGTCAAGTTTGGTGAGGCTGTACAACTCTGAAAAGTACCACAAGCTAAGCAGGAACTTGTTAATAAATTTTATTTTTAATGCCTCTTTAGAGCCATGTTCCCATCCCCCAAGGCAGGATTAAGCATGTTTGGTTAAACCTTCATGTGAGCTGAACACAGCTAAGGGAGCTTCAGGGCTAAGAAATTCCCTGGAATTGTTGATTCCTTCTTCTCCAGGATATAACACAGAGAAACAACAGTGAGAGGCAGGATCTGCTGGGTTGTCAGAGCCCACTGAAAAGTAATTCCAGTTATCATTGCCTCCCTTCCTGCTACCCTGGCTCCCTGCCCTCTGGCCAACACTTGGTTTATATTTAGGCTAGGAACTGGTACAAAACCCGTATTTTGATTTTGGATTCATAAAGCATCTCATGAAAGAAGGTGTTAGTATAACTATAAAAATAAGGTACCTTCACACACGGGAGGGTCTGGATGCACCTGAAATGATAACATTGAATTAAGTCAAGTTCAGTGACAGAATAATGTTTGTCACAGAAGAAGTGAACTGCATCTCCCTCCTCATAGATTTTCTTCACAGGATAGAAACTTCCATGAGCTACTGCACTCAAAGAGGAGCAAGTTATTCCTAGGAAGAAAACACAGCAGTGAAAACCAGCTGAGGAAGGCTTTCCACGTCCAACAGCTGAGAAAACAAGTCTCTTGGCAGGCTTTTGTTAACTTGTAGAATAAATCACATTTCAAACCAAATCATTTTGCAGGCCATGACACACTGGTGCAGTTTGGAGTGAGGGCCCACCCCCATGTCAGACACACTGCTGCCTCTGCAGCTCCCTCCTGCCGCACGATTCCCTCATCACCCCGGGACAGCAGCGTTTGGGGCACTCCAAGCTCCTTCTGGGCTGGGAAGGAGCGGCCGGGACGTAAAGTGGGTACTTGACATGACTCTTCAAGAAATAAAGCATATGCAGAATATTACTTGCTCTCTTCATTTCAAGTAATTAATCTAAAATTTGTCTGAGATACCCCCTTTAAAAGGGGTCACATCCCGTGCAAAATCTTGGCAAGCAATAACTACAAATCCAGTTGTTTACACAAGTTTTCCAGTCATCATTTGGAAAGAAAGTTTGTAGGGCAATGGATTCATTTGAAACAATGTGATTTCATCTCTACTGATTCCATCCACGTATAATTGTATCTAAACAAATTCACAAAACTAGCAGCATGT